ATTTATTTATTTATTTATTTATTTATTTATTTATTTATTTATTTATTCATTCATTCATTTATTTATTTATTTATCTATCTATCTATCTATCTATTTATTTATTTATTTAGATTTTTGGTTTTAGTGAGACAAGACTGTGTAGTCCTGTTGTGCTGTCTTGGAACTCACTCTGTAGACCAAGCTGGTCTCAAAACTCATGGAGATCTGCCTGCCTCTGCCTGCTGAGTGGCTGGCCCTTCTTTTTACTTTTTGAGACTGAGTTTCACCAAGTTGTCAATGCTTGCCTTGAACTTGAATTCTCTTGCCTTGGCCTTATCAGGTAGCTTACACCACCAGACCCAGGGCATTCCTGTTGTCTTAACCACTTGGAAGACAGACACCACACTTATAACCTCAGTACCTGAAAAGTGGAGGTTAGAGATCAGGAGTTCAAGGTCAGCCTCAGATCCATGAGGCTGTCTACATCACCATCCCACAATCCCACAGCCTTTTTTTTTTTCTTTTTTCCTCTTTTTTTTTTTGTTTTGTTTTTCAAGACAGGGTTTCTCTGTGTAGCCTTGGCTCCTGAATTCACTTTGTAGAGCAGGCTGGCCTCAAACTCAGAGTGATCTGCCTGCTTCTGCCTACTGCGTTCTGGGGTTAAAGGTATGTGCCACCATGCCTGGCTTAGCTTCTAGAACTGTTAAAGAAGTTTCTGATGATTATACAGCTTACAGTGTATAATGTCAGAGCAGCCCAAGCAAACAAATATATGTTGGTATGGAACTGAAGAGATGGCTCAGCCATTGACAGCACTGGCTGCTCTTTCAGAGGACCCAGGTTTCATTCCTAAGCATCCATGTGACAGCTCTCAACTGTCTCTAACTTTAGTTCCAGGGTATCTATGCCCTCTTCTGACCTCAGTGGGCCCTGCGTGCATGTGGTGCACAAACACACATGCACATAATACCCATACACATAAAATAAAAATAACTGAAAAAGAAAAATTAAAAAAAATAAAGACTGTAGGTAAAAATATGGACACTATGGGGGCTTCTTTGAAATCTGACATGGAAATATGAAACATAAGATAACTGAAGAAAGGCAAAGAACTTGACTGAATTTATTCCAGTAAAGGTTGAACTTTTGAGTGATGAACTTGGAGTTTTAGTTGAGAACTCTAAGAAATGCACTGAAGATTGCTCGGGGTGGAATGGGGGC